CTTATCGAGCTCGGTAATATTTCCTCGTCGCCAGATGTAATATACTAGGAATTATAACGAAAGAAAGCACACAACTTCTGGGTTGTCTTGTCTCTGCTTTATTGCACACACAACCGACCATGAGGTTCCCTAATAAGGTGAAGGGGCACAGGTAGCCCAACATATAACACWAGAAGCTTTTAATTTCATTAAAAACATTCCTTTTTGTCTTGGGATCTCTCTCCTTTGTTTGATTCTGATTAATGCTAACTGGATGAATTATTTGGGAATATAAAAGCCTATAAATTCGCCACAGTTGTTAGTCGTGAGTCCGTGCATTCTTTTAACGCAGTTTTATGTAAAAATGCAGRTAAAATAAAGGAATAAGTCAGCTGCATGTTTTTTCTTTTGTTTTCATTATAGTTTGGAATGAGCACGGTGCGTGGATTGGTCTTAACGACCAAGAAAACAGCAACCACTTAAGTTGGTCTGATGGGACCCCTGTTGGAAAGTTCATGCCTTTCCTGAGAAAGAACCCTAACCTTGCCCTCTCCGGACGAAAGTGCTTTGTCATTGGTGAAAATGGTAAATGGTTGGATAAAATGTGCAACATAAACAATGAATTTATTTGCAAAAAACTCTTGAAGTAATGACTTAATATTGATGAAAAATTTGAAAATGAACTGGTATTTGAGATTTTAGGGAATGTCATTCCATCAAGTCCAAATAAATTCCACATTTGATGTTCATCTTTTCTTTGCCTTTCTACAAACTGTGACATCTTTGAAATCAACGTGTGCAAACCGAACTATCAAGTCAAAACATTCAAGTTACTAAGGCTGCACATTTAAGACAACCACTTTAAATGGAACTCTCGTATTGCTGAAGCACCGAAGATTGCTGCCAAGAGACTTTACTCTATAATTCAACTTAGGAACCGTTCACACTGCAACATAAATACAAGCTCCATATAGAAAGGTTTAAGGATTAAGAAGACAGAAAGGAAAGTGTTTTTTTTTTCCTGTTTATTCCTTTGTCTTTGATTAGCTTGTGTTCTGCCTTATGTTGCTTGCTGTGCTTATATCGACGCATGCTTGACTTAAATCCTTTGTCTTTTCTTTTGTTTGACATGCTTATGTCGTAGTATGGACATTCCCTTAAAAACTCGCCCGTTAACAATTGCCAGGGTCCACAATATCTACGTTTATAATATGGTTGAATAAAATTATGCAATTTGATTGGCTTAGAAGAGTGGTATTTATMCTTAATAGTGGTATTTCAAATTCCACAATTTTATTCAACCATTTTATWAACAAATAATAACGTGGAATTATAATACGTGGAATTTGTGATAAATATCACGCGCGGTATTTATCCCAAATACCACTACAAAATGCTATTAACTATACTTATCTATGGAAAAATTCAGAAATGTATTGTTCTATTACCATTATTAGTCTGAACATTGAGAAAATTAAAGGGACATGGTCCACAAGCATTAATTTCGATCGTGTTTTAGATTTGGGTCATATGTGGAAAATGAGGTGACTTCGAAAGTCCATTTGCAATCCGTTTCCATCCCGTTGTTTTAATGTTCAATCTTACAATATCTTTATAGTATATACAGAGAAAATAATATTATTTTTTGCTTATATATTACGATGTATTTTTTATTTTCAAACRTGAGAAAAAGCTCAAAAGGGATGCTGGTGCGTGGACCATGTCCATTTAAGTGTATCTAGTATTTAAYAAAGATGGTTGATTAGATTACTGCAAGAAATTGCCATCTACTGTTTACGCTTTAGAATTTTTGGACTTTTTCTGGGAGAATAGTCCTCGCATTCTACTAATACGTCCTCCATCTTGAATTCAAAAAAATATATATGTGAAGGGCAAAAGCACAGATTGTCATATWGTACAGTACCGAAAAAAAGCTTTCACTGGTAATACGATTTTCAATCTGATAGCATTTTTAAGGCACTACAGTCTTTGAATTTCTTGCTTATATTGCCCCCTAGGCAATTTTGCACTTTTGCACTTGTTCAATGAGTCTGTTGATATATTTTAATTAAAATCCATTACATACGTACACGTTAAAAGATTTTGCTTTCATGCCTAAAATGGATGTTATTTGTTATTAATTAAATACCAAAGTATTTGTACTGTTGGAACTCTGCAATCTGGTTAATTATCATTGCAGTACTTATATCGCTCACATGAAATTATCTTGTTTCTGATATTRCTAGAAAATACTACCTACGAAGGGSATGGAAAAGTCCTTTTCTCAGAGGGTAAGCAAATACAAGTTCAATAAACAATATAGAAGTATGTGTCTTTCTGAAGTCTCATCTTGATATTATTTGCATTTGCTCACATGTWAGCGAGCTTTGATTGGCTGCTTGAATAAAATTCCATTCCATTGTTTGAAGTAATGAGAAACTGTATTTTGATCTGTGAAATTATATTGGTATTTTGATTTTTTTATATATTCATTATAGAAAAAAGCAGTTATTTCATGAAGTAAAGCAATGGRAACCTTTTTCTTGWGTTTAMATCGCCCTKATACAAACTCTGCCGAAGTTTGGGAGAATTTTCAAAGGCTTTGCAAACCCCTGAAGGGTATCAGGCTAAATAAGAAAAAAGTTATCWATTGCTGAACTTCAGACAAGAAGATAGAAATCAGATTTTAAGTTAAACTAAAGATATTGGTTATAGAAAACATATRCATATGATGATTGATAACACAGGAGGGCGAACTAACTTAACAATTAACTTGGTGCACKTGGTGATATTTCCACCAAAGCTAAAACCCCTGGAAGCAGTTGTGACATGTTGTGAGTCATCGATTAYCYACCATATCTTACTGTCATTGTTAAACTCTAGGTGTGAGCTTCTCGTTTGTGAACGTTTTAATTATATGTCATACAGAGAGTTTTCCCTCCAGTTGTGCGCGTTACCTTGACAAATCCCCAAAAGATATAAAGACAGATGAAACTACCTGCTTTAATTAAGAAATATAACATGGCGTGCGTGTCTCTGTCCTCTGATATAAGGACGGTGGACGGTGGGAGTTGAAAAACACGAGAAGTAAGCTCAGAACACGAGCGTAGCGAGTGCTTCTCTTGTTTCTTGAGTGCTTTTCAATTTCTWCCGTGTTTATATCGGAGGACAGAGACACAAGCGGACGTTTTATAGTTCTTTTATAACATCTTTCTGTATTTTTCCAACGAATAATGGACATTACATACACGTACTTTGTGGATACCACATACCTATTGATTCATATTTCAAAAATATATAAAATATATCCGAAACTATATGATATCATCGCCAATATTTTTTTTCAGAAAGTACTAGTGCTAGGAACTTAAAAATATATCATTAATTCTGATATATWTTATATAYWYTTGGAATATGAGCAAAAAAGATCATAATTGCTGCATATTGCTGTATTTTTTATGATTTAGTAATATTGTTAAACACAAACACACACTTTAAAAAATACTCCATGTCTTCACTCTTTATGACAGGGTGCCTCTCGGTCTTTGTTTATCAAGRAACTATCGGTGGCTTGCTTGATTGCATKGAAGAGAATTACCGTCCCCAAGATCATTCACATGCAGCCGCGCACAGACAGCCCCTATCTTTGTCCAAGCTGCTACATAGTATGTAAAAGCATGACTTTTATACGGAAACAGGTGCGTCTATTAGTAATCGTCAATGTGGAAACCTCGAGCTTTCCGTTCCGTCCACTGTGCACTTATGCGCACGCGTACTTCCTAGCAAAAGAGTTGAGTAAAAGACCCATATATATAGCGTATAAATACGTGATATTAAAAGAGAATGTAAGTATGAAAGAAGAAGAATTGTCTAAATATTAATTCATATTCAAACTCAAAGAGGAGCTACTCCACTAAGGAAARCAAAATTTCCTAATTAAAAAAATAAGCCGTTTTTGCACATAAAAATGTTGTAAAGCCTTTTTTGGGCTTAAAAACGTTTGCCAGGAACAACCATTATTTTAAAGAAGGAAGGTCGTTACTAGATATGCTTGTKAGATTGTTATTATGTAGCTCAAAATCCCTTTCCCAGGAAAAAAAAAATCGCACAAGAACAGTTATTCAGAAGAACAGACCCTGTCGGCTCCTCCTGAT